CCAGGCTACCACCATGAACACCATGAAAGACAAGTGACATGCGCTTGCGATCTTGATCACTCCTCTGGCTTCGGGTGCCTCGCCCTTTTTGCAGCTGTCTCAGGCTGATTCTGCAAACGTTTCCTCTGCGCTTCCTCCTCACGCTTTGCTGCTGCTTCCTTCTGCCGGCGCTCCTCCTCCGCCGCCGCCTGGCGCCTTGCTCTTTCCTGCTCCTCTCGCTTACGCGTCTGCTCCTGCTGCAGCTGCTCCTGCTTCTGTTTCTGCTCCTCTGCCTGTCGCAACGCCCGTTGCTTCTCCTCCTGTTGTTGCCGGATCTTCTGCTCCTCTTCCTTCTGCTTTTGTTCCTCCGCTTGGCGCCTTGCTGCTTCCTGCTCCTCTTGCTGGCGCCTTTGCTGCTCCTCTTTCTGCTTCTGCTCCTTTGCTTTTTGATGCTCCTCTTGCTGACGCCTTTCCTGCTCCTCCTTCTGCTTCTGCTTCTCCGCCTGGCGTCTGGCATTTTCTTGCTCCTCCTGCTCACGCTTTTGCTGCTCCTGCTTCTGCAAAAGTTTCTGCTGCTCCTCCTGCTGTAGACGGACACGATTCTGCTCTGCTTCCTTCTGCTTCTGCTCCTCCGCCTGCCTTGCCTTTTCCTGCTCCTGTCGCTCACGCATTTGCTCCTCCTTTTGTTTCTGCTCCTTCTCCTGTTGCTGACGGATGCGTTGCGCTTCTTCCTCACTCTGCTGCTCCTCCGCAAGGCGCTNNCTGCTCCTCTAGCTGACGCTTGCGCTCTTCCTCCTTCTGCTTCTGCTCAGCCATCTGGCGCCTTGTTTCTTCCTGCTCCTCTTGCTCACGCTTCTGTTGCTCTTGCTTCTCACGTTGCTTTTGCTCCTCTGCATGCTTGAGCTGATCTTGCACAGCCTGCGATGGCTGCTGCACCTTTCCCGCCAACTTGGAGCCGATGGTGGCCAACATCAGCTTGGCTATCTCATCATCAGGGAACCAATCTTGGAGAAGCCATTCCAAATCCTTCTTCGCAGACAGCGTTTCGCAAAAAACTCCGCACCGGACTCCAACCCAATGCGTAGATCCCAGAGCTCTTTCACCAAACAGCCATCCCGGCGGTACGTAAAGAGCTTGACCCTGCCCAGAGGAAAGCTTTCAAAACATGACTTCACACATGGCACATGTGCTGCACCAACCCCGGCCTTCGGGACTTGCGCATAGTAAATCATCATACCTTTGGCACTGAGCTGCTCAATCTTGTCCTTGTCCAAGGCCGAGAATCGTTCCCGAGCAGACTTTGCAGACGCAGCTCCAAGAAGCTCTTTGGCATGCATGGCCCGCATCATGACCACGTCGCGACACCCAGAGATTGTCAGCCTCACCCCGCCTAGCATGAAAAACAGATGATAACAAGTCTTCAACAGCAATCTCTCTCACACACATACACACACGCTGCCGCATCATGAAGTCTCAGAGGCACGTCTGGCAAACAGTTATGAGTCAAACTCAACACGCATAACTCAGTGGCTATGGGCTATCCGGCACCCTGCCTGCCAGGTTCTTCTCAGTGGCAAACTTGATTGCATTCTTTTGCACCACGACAGCTTGACAATCCAGGGAAGCTTTGAGGTCTTGCGGTAGCTCTGGTGAAGCGCAAGGCCCAGCCTGACGGAGGAGGGACGCCATCCTAGCACTCAAGATCTGGTACACATCGGAGGTCGCAGGATAGCGCTTGTGGGCACGATCCACCTTCTGTGCAGGAGCCTGCGCAACAAAGACTTCAACAAACTCTTGCATGATCGTTGTCTTGACGGCTGGGTGAGCTTCGAACTTGGCCAGCTTCGCAGGCTCCGTGTGAATGAGCGCCGGGTAGTCGAAGTCAGGCAACTCCTCGCCCTCCTTGATCTCTGGGACCTTGCTCATTGCCTCCACAGCTTGGAAAACTGCTGGCCCATGTGCTCTCGACTCAAGCCTCTTCTTCCCAGGCTTGCTTGTTGATGGCTTTGCTGCCGCAGCCTGCTCAGCAGCCTTCTTCAGTGCCTTGAGTGCCCGCTGGACGTCATTCAAAGACCCTTTGGCAGCTGAGACCAGATCGGAAATCGGCCCCTTGAAGTGGTTGCTTAAGGTCACCTTGGCCTGCTCAAGATCTTTCACTGACTGACACTCAAGGATTTGCTCGATCTCCGACAACCACTCGTTGAAAGTCCGCAACTGCCTGAATGTCCTTGAAGGAGCTGCTCTGCCAAGAGCAGCTCGAGAATCCACGGAGGAGCGCGTGGATTCCAAACATTCATCAAAGCTGGCGATGTACTGCTTGAGAGGGTTGGGCGCACCAAAGAGAAGATTGAGGCAAGTCTCCCTGGAAACCATGATGACACGGTCACCCTCAACCTGCTTCTTCTCCTTCGCCCCCAAGCTCTCCAATTCCTTCTTTGTGGTCTCAATCTTGGCCTTCTCAGAGTTGGCCGCGCTCCAAAGCTTGTCATAGGTGATCTTGACCGCTTTGTATGTTTTGTTAACCTCACGATCACGGTCAAACCAGCGACGTTTGCCCGCTTTCTTCTTGGGGTTGCCATTGCCATCTTCATCATCTCCAGATTCGCTCTCGGCCTGCTCCTGGTCATCCCCGCTCACCCCATCTTCCTCATCATCATCATCCTCCTCCGGCTCGGGCGCAAGGTTCTCAACGTTGCCCAGGGCTGCGAAGGCGCCTTCCATGCCCAAGCCACCTGCGAGGTCCTTGGCAACGTCCTGCAGACCACGGCCACCGGCTATGAAATCATGGTCCATGCACACATTCTTTGCCATCTTCTTCACATCCTGGTCCGTACCTTTCTTTTTGCTGGCGCCCTGCGCTTGCACTTCCCTTAGATCCACAATCGGTCTCAGCACACCTTTTTCACAGAAATGTCGGAATGTCAGCACTCAGCACACCGCACAGAGATGCTGCACAGAATTGCAGACTTCAAATTCTGGGAAAGCAATCACACAACGCTGACGCAAGCAGTATCAGGCAAGTAAACATTAACGGGCATTTGAGCTGAGGAACTTGGAGCGTTCGTAGGAGTTGGTGAAATCCACCATGTCGGCAACGTGAATGCGCATGCGAAAGGGGGCCTTAGCCGGCCCCAGCGTGTCTGTCACAGTCTCATCCTCCTCGGCGGACTCGACCATGGACTTCCACTTTGCCTCCGCGGCAGCCTTTGTGAGACTGCCGCCTTCGATTCGCTGCCACCACTGCACCGCCTCGTCTTCCCACATCATTTTTCCCTGAGCTTTGTGTTGCACCGCCGATGTAGCTTTGATGCTTTCTATGTACGTGATAACGTTCCAGCTGCACTTTTTGTTCCCGTTTTTTTTCGCCTCCAGCAAGGCGGCCTTGTAGCTGTTAATGAGCTGCTTGAGCCGTTTCGGATTGGCCTTCACGTTCTTCAGCCACTGGGTTTTGCCAGCAGCACGACACTTCTTGCTGACAACGTCGAGGACCTTTTTGCAATCAACGCAATTGGTTTGGTTGAGGGCATAATTCTCGAGCGGGAGATCCTTGGCGCATGCCGCGCATTTCTTTTTGCCTCCCTTACCAACAGCTGCTCGTTGCTGATGCCGGCCTGGTCTAGTCTTGTCCGCCTTTTTGACCTTATTCTTGGGGCTCAACTTCATTCTGCGCTTGGGGTTTGAAGGCTTCTTCCCGGAACCTCCATCCTCCTGCCGTCGCTTCTTCGCCTTCTTTGGCGTAACTGGGACAGGAGATTCAGCGTCAGACCCCGCAGAGCAATCTGCATCACTGAAAGACACGCTTCCGTCCTCTGATCCCATATCTCGGGTCCACTGACAGAAACGCCCTGGCAAGAAGTTCTTGCAGGAAGTCAAGAAGGCAAGAAGGTTCAAGAAGGCTTCGCTGGCGCTGCGCTGCAGCAGAAAACCACACTCGTGATCTATGGGTCGCAAGGAAGCACTACAATTCACCAATCAACAATTG